TTTAGTGGTTTTCAGGTTTGAGAATAAATTCCCATATTTTGAATAAAATTACTTTTTTTGTGGAACTTTTTTCGGTGTGTTTCGGTCCGGTTTATTTATTTATGGACACCATGATGATGATCATAAAAAACCAAATGCCCACAGGGTTATTTTTTTATTAAGAATCGAGGAAAAAACAGTTGTCATTTATTGACCTCTGTTCTGATTTTTTGAATACCGTTTTTTTTTGGGAAATTTCCGAGAAATTTTTTTTTGAAAATGACACTTTTTTCTTCTGCACAATGCTCTATTTCCATTCATTCGGATCTATTTGAGTAGAAATTGAATCGAATCAAATCGAATCGGAAAAAATTCATTCGAAATACCTGCAAGGATAATTCTGCATGGTTATTCTCATCAAATGTGGTTAAATTTTTCATCATCACCATCATTATTATCATCAACAATTTCGTGGTTCGTGGTAAGAATTTTTCGTCATATAATCTACATATATTCCATAACCATCAATCAGCAAATCAACGGGGGAGATATCAGTCAGTTGTTGGTAGCAACCTGACTGACCTTTACAGCAATTATATCAGTGAAAAAAAATTTACAAATTTTTTTTTCTCTCGCTTGACTATCTCTCATTCAGATAAATGTTTTTTTTGTTTGTTAGTGACCTGTAGTGTGAAATGAAATGAATGAAATGAATAATTTAACTGAATGAAACACGAATGAATGAATGGAAAGAATAATAATAATTTTTCATTTGCCAGGTTAGTTGGAAGCACAATTTTACTAATTTAGCTTTTTTTTATTATCATTTTTTCACGTTTTTGCGGTTTTTTGTTTCCTATGGCGAAAAGTAAAGTGTGAAGAAGAATATTAACCCAGTGTAGTTCATTAAATGTATTTTCTTTTTCTTTTTTTTGTGGTTTATTGAGAATCTTTCCAGCAAGAAAAATCAAAGTGAAAATTTTTGAAAAATTTTTTTTTCCGCTTGTAAAACAAAAACAAAAAACGACAAATTATCGAATGAATAGCAACAACAACAATGGTCCTATTCATAAATGACATATGATACTCATTATTATTATCATTATTATTATGATGCGATTAAACAAACATAATAACACCATTCTATTAACATTGACATTGATTTTTTTCTTTTCTTTCATTCCATTCAATTTGCAAATTTGAATTCAAATGATGAAATTCAATGGCAGCAAAAGAAAAAAAATCATTTCTTTTATCATCATCGTTATTATTATCTACCCCAAACAAACAAACAATTTTTTTTTTCTGTGTGTGTTCCGCATTTACAATTCGGAAAAAAAATCATAATAAAAATCGTATACAAAAGAAATGAAATGAAAAGAATGAAAGTGAATCAAATAAAAAAAAAGAGACTAACCTTGTATAAACACTTCAAAAATTCAATTCATTTTTTCAATCGACAACAACTTTCATCCTATTAATTTTTGGGATTTTATTTCGGGTTGAAAAAAAACCATAGAAAATCCCGGCTTCTGTAAAGTTGTAAAGTAAAAAAAAAATGTTTGTTTTGTTTTGTTTTGTTTATCATCTCATTTTTCCTTGTTTTTTTTTTGATATTTCGGTTATTGTTATTCTTTTCATTTTCAATTGAATTCAATTCAATAAACGACGACGAATAATAACCATCATAATAATAAAATAAACACAGTGGAAAAAATTGACATTGTAATTTCTTTTCATTCATAAAGTGACTGTACAACAAAAAAAGAAAGAAAAGAAAAAGATTATCCCTATTGATAATGATGATAATGGATAATGTTTGTTTGTCTGCTTGTTTGAATTGAATTGAATGGTTTGAAATATTGAGCAAAGTGTGAATTGAATTTGAAGAAAGAAAAAAAGATATTGATCGGGTTTTTTTTTGTTTTCAACAATGTTTTTTTTTGTTTGTTTTGTTTTCGGTTTTTGTATGTTTTTTGTTGTTTGGTTATTCAATTCGTTTCAATTGAATTCATGTTTTTTGTTTTCAGTCCATTGTGTGTCCTCTGTGTATACAAGTGTTTTGTCTTGTTTTGATTTTTTGTTTTGTTTTGTTTTGTGGGGTAATTGTTGTCTTTCTGCTAATTGTCTAATTGTTTTTTAGTTTTTGTTTTTTTCCCGGCAAATTTCCCTCTATTTGATTTTCGGAATCTTTCTTCGAAATCATTATCAGTCGATTACCTGATGATGAAGAAATCAAAAAAAGTGATCATTTTGTTTTTCGATCAAAATCCAAGATAAAGAGAAAAATTGATGAGGTTTCAGATTTCAATCTTTGGAATCAAAAACAAATTCATTCACTGTTTGTCAATCTGTACATCATTTTTATATGGATTCCAATTCATATCAACTACAACAACAACAACAACAAATACGATGTTTTTGAATCAAACAATAGACATCCTTTATTTTGTTTTTATTCGATGATTTTTCTTTCTGTTTCTGTTATTTAATGGAAAATAAAGCAAGCATGCAAGAGAGAGAAAAATGAATGAATAAAAAAACCGGCTTCATATAATAACCGGACAATGACCGGAATTTTGATTGTCGGTTGCAATTTTTCAAACGACAAAACGAACTGTTGAATATTGTTTTTTGGCTTGAATGAAACAAAAAATGTTTCGCAAAATGGATTCGCTTTGTTTTTTTTTTGTATATGAATGAATGGTGATGACAATTAAAACAAATTGAATGTTTTTTGTTTTTTTTAAGTTTTGTATTGTCAATTTGGGTTAAAATAGAAAAAAAAATTACAACTTTTATTCATGATGATGATAATGATAATAAGCAATCATTTTTTTATCCTTCACATAAGTTTATTATTGTTGTATAATTTTTTCAATTTTATTTCACATTTTTACATTCTCTCTCTCTCTCTCTCTTGATGTCATTACCATCTTCAAAAAGAAAAACGAACAAACGAAAAAATCTATTGTTCATCGTCATTCAATGGAAATGGAGAGAGAGAGAGATGGGTTAATAGAAAGCCTGTATATTCACAATATACCCGTTTTTTTTCATTCGGATTCGAATATGCGCATCTGAAAATAACCGTTTTTTTTCAATTCAGTTCAGTTCAGTTTTCCATCATCATCATCATCATCTCAATTCACATTTTGTGGATAGATTTTTATTATCCTTTTCTCTCCCTCTCTCTCTCTCTTTTTTCCAGCCAAAGTTATATATGAAATTTATTCAAAAATAGACTTGCGTGATGGAATGTTGTTGTGTTGCTGTTTGTTGTTTGTGTATTGGATAAAAATTTCAAAAAGAAGGCGTCAACGTGTCATTGGACGTCACAACCAAAAAAAAAGAAGTTTTTTTCAATAGCTATGATGATGATGATTTCAAGTTATAAGTGGTATTTACAAAAACACACTACTTATATATTTGAAAGAACAAAAAAAAAACAGCCAATAAAAATAATGATGATGTTTGGTTATGCCAATTGATGCGTCTCTCTCTCTGTCTGTCTGTTTTTTGTTTTTATTTTTGGTGTATACTTTTAAATTCAAGTGGGCGGTCTTTCCCCGAAAAATGGGCTGGTCTTAGCATTATATTGAAAATAATTGCAAAGAGGTGTGGCCTAAATCCAATTGGTTTTTTGTTTTGCTTCCATTAATACCACTGCCCTTTTCTTCTTTTAAACAACAATAGAAAAAAAATGATCATAAAATCAAATAACCAATCGAGTTTAAGAGATTTTTTCGTTTTGTTTCGTCTGTGAGCCTTGCCATAGCAAAAAGCAAACGAAAAATCGATAAGAGAGAGAGCGAGGGAAAACTGAAAGCAACAAGAAGAAGATTTTTTTTGTTTTTTTCCATTTGCAAAGCTCAATCATCGTGGCACTCAATTAGTTTGTACAGGTCAATGCTAACGGACATAAATTAGACACGAGCGAAACAAACGAAAGAGAATTATTATCATCATCGTCATCACATGATCCACTATTTCTACTTCTTTGTTGTTGTTGTTGTTGATCCAATTGTCCCCTAGGTTTTCAAGATAAAGATTCTTTTCAAAGTTTTTCTTTTCTTTCTTTTCTCAAACATTCACTATCTGTCCGTGTGTGTGTGTGCATAGATACATCTTGAGTTTCACAAAAAAAAAACTCAAATGATAAAAGAGACAACCAGAAAAATCAAAAAATCTATTTCGACAAAAGCAGCAACCAATATTTTTTCGGATCTACGAACAATAACAATAACCAAACAACCAACGACGACGACGACAGTTCCAAAAAATCTTTCTGTAACTTTTGTGTGTTCAGCCTCTCTTTGTATTGATTTTTTTGTTTTGTTTGGAACTTGCATTGTGTTTGGATCATCATCATCATTGAAATCATAATCATCATCAAAAACTCTCTTCAGACAGAAAACTTTTATTATCCAGAGTTCCTAGTTTTTTGTGTGTCACCAACTTTTGTTGAAAATCATTTCTGCCTGTCTCTGCAACAACAAGATTTACTTGGAAAATTTTCAAAAAGTTTCACATTACCACCACTACCAGATTTATTATTTGCCGAATGTCCACTACTGCAGCAGTTCAACAACAACAAAAAAAAAGAAACTCTTCAACAACCAAACAAAACATTGATCTTTATCATTATCAACACCGAAATACACACACACACACACATTGACAATCCAAAGTTACTTTTTGATTCACAGTGGATTCACAATTGAAATTCAACTCAATTGTGTGTATGTTTAGTGAATTTTGCTCCAAATCATAATCATAATAATAAAGCCAGATAATGTTTTGTTGTTCAATAAACTTTTTATTATTATGATGATGATAATGATGACATTGGCCATGCAAATTATTTAATTTCAAATAACAATAACAAACAACAAAAGATTTGAAAATTGATAAAGTTTCTTGTTTGTTTGTTTGTTCTTTTGATTATTGATTTTTTGTTTTGTTTTTAATGTTTTTTTAATGATGATGTTTAATCGATTGATTGATTGATTAATCAATTTTTTTTGTTTACAAAAATCGATAAAATTATTGATTTCGCGGTTTTTCTGTTTTTCTGTTTTATAAAATTGAAACTGTATTCATATATAATGTGTCATTGAGTGGGTGTTTTTCTATTGGAATACGTCCATTGTGAATTGATCCCCGAAAAAAATCGAACGTTTTTGTTATTCGAATCCAAAAAAGATTCGAATTCTCTCCCTGTGTGTGAAAATCTGTGTCCAATTTTTTTGGACCATTTTTTTTGTTGCTTCCTGATAATAACCGAAAATATAAAAATCTTTCAAAACGGCTTTCTATCATCCAACAACGGCCACAATGGCCACATTAGAACGCGATTATTCAGCGTATACACCATTTGGTTTGGCTGCTGCTGCAAGCCATCATCATCATCATACACATCCACATCATCCACATCATACGATGGATCCACATGATTTGAAAGCATTCAGTCATCATACACATCATCCACATCATCAAACATCATTATCACAACATTCACAACCACCATTAACATCATCGGCATCATCATCATCATCGTCAACATCATCATCGGTGGCGGCTGCTTCTTCTATACAGCCACCATTATCGGTTATGACACCACCAACACCATCATCAACACCAAATTCACAACATCATCAACAACAACAACATCATCATCATCAAACATCATTAAATCAAAATTCAAATAACAATCATCCACATAATCATCATAATAATCATCATCATAATTCGATCAATAATCATAATCATCATTCAAATAATAATAATAATAATAATAGTAAAAAAGAAATTGATCGTGTTAAACGTCCTATGAATGCATTTATGGTCTGGAGTCGTGGACAAAGACGTAAAGTAAGTTTTTATTTGATTTGATTTATCGATTTTTAATTATGAATATCATTGTTTGATTTTCGATTATTAATTGTTTGGGGTTTTTTCATTTTCATTTTCTTTGATTGAATGTTTTCGTTTGTTCGTTTCGCAATGAAAGATGGCACAAGAACATCCAAAAATGCATAATTCCGAAATAAGTAAACGTTTAGGTGCCGATTGGAAAGAATTATCTGAAATAGAAAAACGGCCATTTATTGATGAAGCAAAACGTTTACGTGCAGTACATATGAAAGAACATCCTGATTATAAATATCGACCACGGCGAAAAACAAAAACATTAATAAAAAAAGATAAATATCCGGGTATTAATTCAGGTTTAAGTGGATTATCATCATCATCACAACATCAATCATCAACGGATGTAACAACAGCCGCTGCACATCATACACATAGCCGTCAATCAGCGGCTGCAGCCGCTGCAGCTGCTGTTCAACAAGTAAGCCGAGATATGTATCAAATGAATGGTTATATGGCAAATGGTTATCCAACAATGATGCATGAAGCATATCAACAACATGCTGCCAGTTATAGTAGTGCCGCAGCGGCAAGTATGGCCGCTGCAAATGCTGGTAGTTTATATGGACGTTATGATATGTCACAAATGACAATGGCCGGTAGTTCAATGCCAATGCCATATATGAATGGTACAACAAATTATTCAACAATGACACCAATGTCAGCAGCATCAGCATATTCATCGATGGGTTCATCAGCAGCAAGTCCAATGTCCGGTACTGGTTCATCATTATCATTAAAATCCGAATCATCATCTGGTCATAGTGGAAATTCACCAAATACAATGGCAGCGGCTGTTGCTGCCGCTACAGCTGTTAGACGTCCGTGCAATAATAATGATTTACGTGACATGATTAGTATGTATTTACCACCGGGTGATGCGGCAGCGGCGGCTGCTGCTGCTGCTGCTGCAGCAGCAGCATCTAATAATAATGGTAATAATAATAATGGTGATCATTCAAATAATGTACAAAATCGTTTACAAATGCAAAATCATTATCAAATGAATATCGAATGAATCGAAACAAACATCAAATCAAATCAATTTTCCGATTCTCGTGTCAGACATTCTCGATTTGTTTATGTTTTTTTTCTTCTGTGTATCGTGTATGTTTTTTTTTCTATTTTTATCAACTGCTCATCATCTACCTACACTTGATTACAAGCAATGATTGTTGTTTGTTTCAACAAGCAAACAAACTATATTCCTGTGGGCGTCAGGCAAAAAATATCCAGTGTTTTTTCGCCAAAAATGATTATGATGTGTTTACGGTGTGTGTGTTTTTGTTTTGACTTGAAAATCAATCCATCATTTTTGATTGTTTTGACAAATTCCGTGACGCCCTTCGCCACACACACAAAATCAATGACAAATTTGAAGCTAATCAACGATAACAACAACAACGACTACCATCATCATTATCATTATTTTATCATTATCATCATCATTAAAATGACGCCCAATATTTTCTTTTCTCATCATCGATTATCATCTTTAAATATCATCACATTATCCTCATTAAACATTTTGATTTTATCATTGAAACCCTCATTTTGAGCAGCTAATGAATTACTATTATTAACATCATCATCATTATAATAATCCAAACAATTAACAAATTTCAAATTAAAATAGATGAATCTCACTTGACCAAAGCAACAAACAAAAAAATAAGAAAATGACATCTTTACATCTTGCACATCCATTATCATCATCATCATCAGCAACAAAAATGTTTTGTTTGCAAAAACACGATATACACAAACACTTGTCTTAGACGCCCACACACCATGCTTATATTTTTGTACATTTCCCTCACAAAACACTACACATGTTCATAAATAATGTTGAAAATCCTCTGGTTGTAACAACACACAAAAGATTTTACAAACAAACATTGATGATGATGTTAATGATCAATTATATTCTTGGTTACAATTACACAAAACACAAACACACTTGATATCATTTTTGAAAACTTATTGGTCTCTTTCTCTTATTATTCTTTCCATGTTTTTTTTTCCAAACAGAAACCAAACCAAAAAAAATACCAAAAAATTTAGTCGAATTTTTTTTTTCTTTTTCAAACAAAAATTTTATTCAAAAATCTCTCATTATTATCATTATTATTATTATTTAATTATATATTAATCCGATGAAACGATTTTGTAAATAAATTTGAATCCAATATTCTATAATTCTGAATTTTAGTTTTGTTTTTTTTTGTTTCATCAACCAACCAACAAAGATTATCGACATTTCAACCAAACCTATCAACTAAGAACAATGAATTAAGAGAGTTTTATTTGGCTGCAAGAAAAGCCGGTTTTATTCCATCATCATCCAAAAAATCATTCAAGCTTGAATGAATCAAAATGAATAAACAAAATACCCAAAACAAACAAACATAAGCATTGCCATAAGCATTGATGATGATTTTTGGATTATCATCATCATCATCATTATTAGATTATCGATTTTGATTTGATTTTTTTTTGTCGATAATCATTGAATCGAATCCAAATCAAAAATCCAATCAAATCGATCATCAAAAACGATAATTGCCTATTTAATGTTGACTAAAGTGTGCCATATGCGTGCCACATGATGAACAAAAATATCATCATTATTATTAGTGTGATTTGATTTTTGATTTTTGATCTTTGAATCAACCGCGAAGGTATTTTGTTGTTGTTATTGTCGTTGATGGTTATTTTTTGGCAACCAATCTTGTTACGTTTGAGTTAACGAAGCTTGCCAAAAATATTGAGTAAATTCGTTTTTGATGAAATGATTTTCTTGTTTGCCTCAATTTTGCCATGATTCAAATCAAATTATCCAATAAAATTTAATTTAATTTGATTTTGGAATTGAAAACAAAATGAAATTTAATTAACCTAACTAAGGTTAATTATATTTGACCTTGTTGTCGAGTTGGTTAGCTGTTTGTTTGTTCGCCTGGGTGGTTGATGTGTTGATTTGATTAGCATCATTAATCTCAACACACACACACACAGAATCTGGTTTCGATCAACTAAAAGTCAAACACACTATGGCCTTGTCTCCTGCATTTGACATTTGGTTTGATCGTGTGAAACAAAAAAAAAAAAAAAAAAAACCGTATGACATTTTTGTTGATTTCAAGGGGTACCTTACTTGCAAGGGACATTTTCGATTTGTGTG